GTACCATCTTCAGTTGATGTATGTGTACCATCTTCAGTTGATATATGTGTACCATCTTCAGTTGATGTATGTGTACCATCTTCATTTCAAACAGAAGGAAGCCATTTCCATACCTTACGCCCCTTCATTTCGACATTGATTCGACACTGATATTCAATGGTCATATGCACTTTTGCTCAGTCCTTAGAGTATTCACAGTTGAAGTTTTCCACGTTTGAGTGAAATGTCGAGAAGGTTTTCTGAAATCATCCAATTAGTGAAAATAGGCATTTTAAGCACGCATTTATTGGTTCTAAAGTATAGTCTCCTAAGCAGCCGCTTACTGAGTGTCGTCACCAATAGCGGCTGCGCAGCAGACTATACAATGAAGGACTGTCCATGAGGACATTGAGTCTTCGATCAGTCTTATGATGCCACAGACATCCAAAACAAAGGTTCCTTCCTGTCTATAGTTCATCATGTGTTCGGAATGTATGTGAAATATGACGAAAATATGACAAAAAATATTTCACTCAACAATTTGCTTATTTACCATAAGAACGGAGAAGACTGACCAAGATACAAGCAACCACTGAAGCAAGTTTGAAAGCATATTGTTGAGTGAAACATTTTATAGTCATTTCTTCGTCATAACTCCCATACATGCCCTCATATAAACCACACACAGGAAAACGAACTGTCATGTGCTTTTTGCGTAATCTATACTACATTACTAGACAGCTTTGATTCGTGAAGCGTAGGACAAGGTTAGGAGTAGATTATATAAATAACTATGCATGGAAGTCACGTTAGAAAGCTGGCATGGTATTTTCGTGATTGGGACATGAAATAATATCCTTATCAAAGGTTGTGCTTTACGTCACTGATTTAGTATGGCTCTCGTAACATAAGACATCCGTAACTCCGTAATACAATCCTTGTATGGTTAATAATCAGCGAGTCGTCGATTAGACTTCTTAGTCGGATTTGGAGCCGTGGATAAAAAGCTATTCAAACAGAATTTTTTGGGGTATTCATATTTTTCAATGGCTCGAGCGATAGACCATTTGATTATCAGTACAGCAATCGTGTTGATGATTAGTCAAGCGGCAGTGGGAAGAAGAAAGACTTATTACGGGTACGTGGTCATGATCACTTTAATACGACATCACGCACACATCTATGCTGACTGCTTTATGATATACACGATAACTTGAACTAAATGGTAATCATCGTCTATGAACGTGTCCATATATATCATGATGGGTTTTTCAAGTCAGGCTTCTAAAAATAATCACGCCTGAGCGTCATAACTTTGGATCATGCAGACTTTTACTGGCTTTACTGACCTTTAAGGCCTCTCATAGTGTTTACTACTAAACCACAAATACAAAACATTGAATTCACGTTTTTATTAATTACGATGTAAACTAAAGGAATTTTCCTATATCACCATCATATGATTATCTTGACATCGACAGGTCCAGCACGATTCAATTGTGTTGTATGTTATGTTGTATTAGTTATAATATGCATTGAAGGGATTACATGCAAGAAAACATGGGCAAAAATGTTAAATCATTAGTCATCTATATCTATATCGCAAGTCATGCAAATGTAAAGTTATATTAATACAGCTGCCACACAAAAATCTTATACTTCACGAACTGAATGGGAGAAGATCTATTGATGCTTTGCTATGTTCACTAGGGATCGTGTATTGAGGGTGACACCAAAGACTGAAGCTGCTTTGAAATTCTTGAATGGATTAGTGGAAGACGATCAGAACTATGAGGTATGATATCAAGGGCGGATCCAGGAGTGGGGGGAGGGGGGCTGAAGCCCCCTCCCCTTCAGCAAAAAAAAACGATGCTTTTTTATATTGTTTTCCGTTGTGTTGACGGAAAAAACTCAATTTGCCCCCCCCCCCCCCTAAGATTTTTGCTGGATCTGCCCTTG